TTTTTTGGGCCAGGTGCGGTGGCTCATGCCTGTAATCCCAGCACTTGGGGAGGCCGAAGTGGGAGGATCACCTGAGGTCAGGAGTTCAAGACCAGGCTGACCAACATGGAGAAACCCCATCTCTACTAAAAATACAAAATTAGCCGGGCATGGTGGCACATGCCTGTAATCCCAGCTACTCGGGAGGATGAGGCAGGAGAATCTCTTGAACCCAGGAGGCAGAGGTTGTGATGAGCCAAGATCGTGCCATTGCACTCTAGCCTGGGCAACAAGAGCGAAACCCTGTCTCAGAAGAAAAAAAAAAAAAAAATTCTGCAATTAACAGGTTCATTTTTGTCTGTTTGGCTGCTCTGTCATTTATACAGAACACAGTTAATCACTGCTCTCAATATATGAAAATCTAGAACTCCCAGGCCATCCTTCAACCCCATCCCCTCCACTAATCCTTGTAAGGTTCTGATGCAGCAAAGCACCCTCACCCCATTCCTCTCCGTGTGGGTTTTTCTTCACAACCTCTATCTCCACAACCAGTTACCCTGAGTTTTTATTCAAAACCATCAAAACTGTGGCCTGTGAAATCCACACTGGCCCTTCCCTCTGTAGAGAGATTTTGTGAGTGCCACTGTTCTTTGCATTGTTGCCACGTGGCAATCAGAGAGAGAGAGACAGATATATATTTTTTGAGACGGAGTCCTGCTCTGTTGCCCAGGCTGGAGTACAGTGGCGCAATCTCAGCTCACTGCAACCTCCACCTCCCGGGTTCAAGGGATTCTCATGCCTCAGCCTCCCGAGTAGCTGGGATTACAGGCATGTGCCACCACTCCTGGCTAATTAAAAAATAATTTTTAAAAAAGTCGGGCACAGTGGCACATGCCTTTAATCCCAGCTACTCGGGAGGCTGAGGCAGGAGAATCACTTGAACCCAGGAGGCAGAGGTTGCAGTGAGCCGAGATCATACCACTGCACTCCAGCCTGGGCGACTCCATCTCAAAAAAAAAAAAAAAAAGTCGGGCACAGTGGCACATGCCTTTAGTCTCAGCTATTTGGGAGGCTGCAACGGGAGGATCGCTTGAGCCAGGGAAGTTGAGGCTGCAGCGATCTGTGATTGTGCCACTGTACTCCAGCCTGGGTGACAATGGAAGACCTTGTCTCTCAATTTCCCCAATACCCTTCCATTCTGTTCTTGCCTTCTCTGAAGCAAATAATACTAAAAAACAGCCTGATGTCCTGCCACACTTTTCTTTGCCTACAGAAAGATAAAGACACACATATACCCCTAGGATTTTTGTCTGCATTTACAAAATTGGAATGCAAAAAAAGTACATTTTGTGACCTGGCCTTTGTCAGTTAACGATACAAATCATGGAGTCAGATGTGGTGGCTCACGCCTGTAATCCCAGCACTTTGGGAGGTGGGTGGATCACTAGAGGTCAGGAGTTCGAGACTAGCCTGGCCAACATAGTGAAACTATCTCTACTAAAAATACAAAAATTAGCCAGGCTTAGTGGCACGTGCCTGTATTCCCAGCTCCTCAGAAGGCTGAGGCAGGAGAACTGCTTAAACCTGGGAGGTGGAGGTTGCAGTGACTGAGATTGTGCCACTGCACTCCAGCCTGGATGACAGATCGAACTTCCATCATAAAACAAAAACAATGCAAATCATGGAATCATAGACATCCCTATAGGTCAAGAGAGCTCTTTCCCATTCTTTTTAATAGTTGCAAAACTACTTCATAGAATATTCAACTCACACACCTCTGTGGTTGTCTTCATGGTGCCCCACCCTCTCAACCACAATAAACAGTGCTACTATAAACCTTTCTTTCTTTTTTTTCTTTGAGATGGAGTCTCACTCTGTTGCCAGGTTAGAGTGCAATGGCGAGATCTTGGCTCACTGCAACCTCCACCTCCCGGGTTCAAGTGATTCTCCTGCCTCAGCCTCCCAAGTAGCTGGGACTACAGGCAAGTGCCACCATGCCTGGCTAATTTTTTGTTTTTCTAGCAGAGACGGGGTTTCACCATGTTGGCCAGGATGATCTCTATCTCTTGACCTCATGATCCACCTGCCTCGGCCTCCCAAAGTGTGGGATTACAGGCATGAGCCACTGTGCCTGGCCACAATAAACATTTTTATAAACTGCTTAGACTCCCCAAAATGGAATATACTGGAATTGCCCAAATGAAGCCTGAGTATTTTTAATTCTAACACGTGTTTTCCCAAATTCGAACACATATTTTCCAAAAGGGTTATAGCAACTTATATTTGTATGTCCATTTTTTACCATCTTATTGGTACTGGATATTACTGCTCTGAAAGTTTTTAACTTTGTTAAACTAATGGATAATAAAATGGTAACACGCAGTTATTTTGTGTTTATTTCCTTGACTACATCCCAGGAAGAACGTCTTCTTTTATTAGCCATTTGGATTTCTCCTATAGATGGTCTGTTTGTATCTTTTTGCCCATTTTCTACTCTACAGGTTAAAGAGGCTTTTGCGCACTGGAGATATAAGCAAAAAAGGTATAAGGTGACTTTATGCAGAGATCGAAGGATGAGCAGCAGACGGTCATCAAGGAGCATGGAAACAGCATTTCAGGCAGAGAAGCATGCTTATGGCATGGAAAGGAAAGGAAGGAGCACAAGACAGAGGAAGGAGCACAAGACAGAGGTCAGAAAGGGAGGCAGAGGCCAACAAACACATAGGGGCTTGAGGGACAAGGGAATGAGCTTGAATTTTTCCCTAGATGTTAGCGGGAACTCCCTGAACTATTCTAAACTGGAGGGCCAATAATCTGATTGTTTTTGTGTATCTAGCTTAAACTCAGAACAGCTTCCAAAATCTTATTCACAGAGGTTTTGTGATCTTTGGGCTAAGAATATAATTATATTGCCTACAAATAAATTATGTATACTTTACTAATATTTAACTAAATTCTTGTGTTACTGTATTAACATTTCCATGTTTAATGATAGCTAGCATGCCTATCTTAATGAATTTACTGGAAATGATTCAGCATTTCACTATTTGGTGTGATATTTGTATTAGGACTGGGTTGTTTTTATTATGCTTAAGAGGTTTCCTTCTATTCTTAAAGTTTTAACTAGAAAATGGTAGTAAATAATATCTCCTTTAGCATCTACAGAGTTAACCACACTACTCTGTTAAGATAATGAATGAATTATGAGTGATTACCAATAATGAGCCATTCTGGCATTCCTGGAATAAACTCTTTTGTTCATGGTGTTTTACTCTAATAACTCAAGGCTTAATTCCATTTATCAAAGAAGCCGTCTTCCACCTTTTTCTGTGGTCTGAAAGAATTCAGATTAACAAAGGAACTACCTATTGATTTGCTCCTCAGGACTCCTAAAGTACATCATTTAGTCTCAAATGTGTGTTGTGTGTGTGTGTGTCTACTAGCTATACAGATAAATATTTTAGAGACAAGGTCTCACTCTGTCTCAGGGTCACCAAGACTAGAATGCAGAGGCATGATGATAGCTCACTGCAGCCTTCAAGTTCTGGGCTCATGTGATCCTCCCACCTGAGCCTCCTGAGTAGCTGGACTACAGGCGCATGCCATTGTGCCTGGCTAATTTTTGTTATTTTTTTTGTAGAGATAAGGACTTGTTTTGTTGCCCAGGCTGGTCTCAAACTCCTGACTTCAAGCAACCCTCTTGCCTTGACCTCCCAAGCTTTGTTTATATTTTTGATAGAAAAAAATAGTACGTATATTTTTGATTAATAAAAAATGAAAATAAGCCCAAAACCAGTAAGATAAACGGTTCCAGTCATATTTCTTTCAAATATTAGAAATAGTACCTACCTAATAAATTCAGGAATAAATTTTGGCTGAAATGTGGAAAGAATAAACAGTAAAGTCAGTAAAATAGGCTAAGATTATCATAAATAGCTAATAAAGAAACATACCACTTACATGGTGTGAGAGATCAGCATCCATAATAATTATGTAGTTTCCTGTGGCATGTTTCATTCCATGAATATATGCAGTTCCTAAAAATGAAAGTATATCCATTCAAGAAAGTCAACAGAAATCTTAACATATACATTTGAACATGGAGGAAACTGTTCAGCACCTGAAGAGCATACATTAGTCCTCTAAAAGTGGTATTAATAAATCGGTATTTTTCACCTTAAGTATACAGGTTCATGTATATTACATATATAATCAAGAAAGTAGCTGGTCACACACCCCCATTCAGATGTCAATTTAATAGAAGAGATCATACCTCTATTTCAGTTGAGCAAATAGTTTATAAGTTCAAAAGTCTGAGATTATGTAGCAATTATCACATTCTCATGCTTTAAAAACCCATCTGGTGTTTCCTTAGCATCCCCCTAAGAGACTGATGAAGTCAGACCCTTCCTTAGAGCTCCACATTTACAAATCAGCTTCCTACTTAACATCTCCTTGTGGGTATTTCAGAAATCTCAAAGATAACATCGCAAAATCATCTTCCAATTCTCTACCTCTCTCTTACAGGCCACCTCTCCAGGAAATGGCACCAACTATCCAATTGCTCCATCCACAGGTCTAGAGATGACTCTTGATTTCCTACTTTTAACCATAACTTCTAAACTATAATTAAGTCCTATTGATTCACCACCCAAAACATTTCAATTCCCTTTTTCTTGTCGATTGTCACTTAGTTCCAGGTGCTACCTTCTGATGCTTAGATGACTACCTAACAAGCCTCCCTGCTTCTGCTCTTCCTAGCTCTAAGTCCACTTCCACAAAAACCACACACTGTCTTTTACACCGTACGCCTGGTACGCTAGACCCCTGCTCTGGTATTTGGGGCCAAAGGCCTTGCTGACAATTACTTAGCCAGCTCCATGCCTCAAAGTCCCACAGGGACTTGGCAGGCTAGGGTAACTAGTCAGGAGCAGGACTTGGGGATTCCTGCATTCTCTAGTCCAGACACCTCACAGGTGTTTTATAAGCAAGGCTGAACTCTTCTAACTTATTTTGTTAAGAAGTGAATATCGGCTGGGTGTGGTGGCTCATGCCTGTAATCCCACCACTTTGGGAGGCTGAGGCAGGTGGATCACCTGAGGTCGGGAGTTTAAGACCAGCCTAACCAACATGGAGAAACCCTTACCTCTGACTGGGAATTTCCCACAGTTCTAGCTCCTGCCAGGCAGCCCCCACCCCATCATTCTAGCTCCCTCTGGGCAGCCCAGGTTCTTAGGCTCTTAAAACATCTCTTCCTGCTGTTGCTCCATCCCTAGGGGTGGCAGTGACCTCCAGCTGTTACTAATCTTAGTAGCCTCACTGCTCCATTTGGTTTCTCAGGAACTCCTTCACCAGTGTAACCAGCGACTCAGTATTAAATTCCCTACACCGAAAGACTTACAGTGGTTTCTATTGTCCTGAGTGGGCCTTGACTTATACAGGCAACCCAAGTTATACCATTTAAATGTCATTAAGATTATTAAAAACCATCACAGTAAGTTACTGTATTTTGGCCCTATTCCAAACTGGGCAAATACACACTGGATCATGTCACCAGGCAAGTAGCAGGTATGAGGGGTTAGAGGTTCCGCGACTTACCTAGTCCCAACTTTTTCTCCCGTGGTTTTAGAAGCTGTAAAATAAGAAACAGCATTTTACACAAAGAAACAGAAATGTTATCATGTTAAATTTTATTTTATTCAAAAGTGCATACTCATTTTAATAGAAATATAGTTGCACTTGTTAGAACTTAAAGCAAAGTATGGTTAATGTTTTTTTGCCAAAAGGAAAAAAAAAGCATTTGGTAACAAACCAAATAGTTTACTTCTGAGGCAAAGCAACATTCTTTAACCCCGACCCTACAATCAAAATTAAAATTTTTTTTTTCTGGTGTCACTCACTCTATTTTAAATAACATGTCCTTACATCTATACTTGAATTTCCTTTTAAACCTATTGATTCCTTCCTAGAAAACTGTAGGACTTACCTCATTATTTCACACCTTCTTGGGAAATCTGATGTTTGTTCTCTCAATTCCCTTTGGGTTTTGAATACTAATATCACTCTTCCTCTATTAACTTATCTTGACCTTATGCTTGGATGACCTCATCTCCTCTACTGGTCCAAGAACATGTCATATTCCTAATTAAATTCTTTCTCTTTTTATTTGTCAATTATTTAGTCCTTCTTAATATTTTTGCTTAATAATTGGAGCCTGACTTTATTTGTTTAGTTTTTCCTTTTGGCTGAACACTTAAAAAGTCGAATGCCAAAGTTCTCACTGTGCCCTATGTTTCTGAGGTATGGGGTTCAGGTAGACTCATTAGTGAGCATGTCTTGTCTATCTTGTCCCCTTCTACACTTGCCAGTATATAAGCAGGTTGCCTCTGACTGCAAATCTCTCAACAAAGCATTTTCAATTAAAGCAGGACGAATTTTTTTTTTTTCACTACATGCAATCTGCTGGAGGTTTTTATTTGCATGGAATGTTTTTTTCCATCCCTTCACTTTGAATCTATGTGTGTCCTTACAACTCAAGTCTTTTGTGGGAAGCATATATTTGGCTCTTTTTAAAAAAATCCATTCAGTCACTCCAGGTCTTTGGAGAATTTAATCCCTTTATATCCAAGGTAATTACTAACATGTAAGAACTTCCTACTGCCATTTTGTTAATTGCTTCTAGTTGTTTTGTAGATCTTTTGCTTCTGTCCCTTTCTCCTTTCCTTTATGATTATTTTCTGTACTATCATGCTTTGATTCCTTACTTTTTATCTTTTGTGAATCTACTTTAGGCTTTTCCTTTATGATTACCAAGAGACTTACAAAACCCATCTTATAGTGATAACAGGCTATTTTAAGCTGATAACAATCTAACTCTAACCGCTAAAAAAAAATCCTCTACACTTACTGCACTGTCCTCATATTTAAAAATTTTTAAGTCATAAAACCCTATTGTTGACATGGACTCTAGGATTGTGCTGTTATCCCTAGGGTAACTTGTTCCTTTGGTCAAGTTATTGGGTCAATTGTGTGTTGCGCTTTGGCTGGTGTAGTCTTGGCATAGGTTGTTCGGAGGTTGGTGACTATAGTTAATAGTATATTATATACTTGAAATTTACAGAGAGCAGATCTTAACCGTCCTCATCACTGTCAACTCGCCCCCAAGGGTAACTAAGTGAGGTGATGGACAGATTCATTCTCCAAATGTGGTATTCATTTCAGAATGTATACGTGTATCAAACCATCGCATTATATACTTTAAATATATGTAACTTTGTCTATTTTATCTCAATAAAGCTGGAAGAAAATATGACAAAATATCAATGACTTTATCTGATCTCAAGTTGGGGGATGAAACAAACTACATAAACCAAACATAATAGAAGCACTCAACATAGGGCAGTTGAAGTCCTTCACAATTTCAGATCTCTGCCTTGTAAGCATTGTGAATAGTTCAGAGTAAGTGCCCTAAATTTCTCTATGGTCCTACCTAGTTAGGTCATTAAGAATGACCTAACCTCTTGCTTCAGTTGTGTCACTTACAGAATTTTAAAAAATATCTTCTTTGGCTTCTTTTCTGAAAGATTCATTTCAGCCAGTTTGAAAGGCTGACAAAGCATCTGTGGTGAATACTTTATCTGAGGTATTCTAACATGGTTTCCATAACCCCTCATCTTCCCAACTAAACATACGTATGTCACTGAAAGCAAGTGTCATCCCTAGCATGGATTAATACTGTTTTTCTTTTTTTAAAGTCACTTTCTTTTTAACTTATTTGTGTCATAAAACAATGAATGAATAAGGAATTTTATCTGGTAGTAGAGGGAAATCACAACAGTGAATGCAAATTCTTTTCTCATTTTGAATTTTATCGGGTTGATAGGAAAAATGTCTTTGAAGACAACCTTGTTTCAAAATTTGAAAGGTTTAGTAACCATTCCCTAAAATCAATCAATCACATCCTAAGACTGAGGTTTTATGACAAAAGTATTCAAAATGTTGTCTAGTTGATGGTCCCAGATTAAATGGCAGCACATAACTCAGAATGTTGTGAATCAGTGGTCTTCACCCTGGGCTTCTAAAAGAAAACCTGGGGAGCTACTGGCCAGAAATTCGAACCTAGCATTACCGAAAGTCTCTGCTAGAAGCCTGAAAATTTGTCAACTTTTTACCTCCTTCTGTATTCCTATCCATTAGAAGATTTTCAGAGAAGACTTGAGGTGTGACAGACCTGAGTTACTCATCTGTGAGACAGACTGAAAGAATTTCTAGTATAGATTTACCATGTAGTGAGTAACACAGTTCCTTTAGAACTTTTGCCACTAAGACCTCATACAACTGACACTGACCTCTAAGTAGAAAGTATTTCTATTACTGAGATTTATCAAGACCAGATGACTGTTTTTTAAAAATGATGATTAATTTACCATTTCTTGAATTGTAAATAACAATAAAGGTTCTCAAAGGGACTTCTTTCTCTATACCAATGGTTCTGTACTGGAGGCAAAGGATAATTTTTCACCTAAGGAAATATCTGACAATATCCAAACATTTGTGGTTGCCAAGTGGGGAGGAGGGTTTCTAATGGCATCTAGTGAGGAGAGTCCAGATATGGTGCTGAATATCCTACAACGCACAGGACAACCCCCACAGTAAAGAATTAATCTGTCCACACGTCAATAGTGCCAAGACTGAAAAACTCTGGTCTGCATTTATGAATATAAATTATAAAAGCACTTACAAGCATACATAAACACTTATAAATCCAAACCAGTGACCAAAAATACAATTCATGAAGCCATTATAAAATAAACTCTGTATTTGCCTAAGTAACTTCTATATTAGAATAACAAGTTTCAAGGTGCAGTGGGAAAATCTAAAGTTTAGAACTAAGGAAGTCAATCTACTTCCACAAGACTATTCTATAGACTAAAAATGCCAAGTACTCTGAGAAGGCATTAATGTTTCACAAGAAAACAATAACTTTTTCTACCTACAAGCTCTTAATTTCAGGCAGTATTCTCTAATGAAAATATGAGAATACTTACCGAAAGGGAACAAGAAAGATTAAAAAACACACACTACCAATTACAACCCAATTCTATAATATTCCTTGTCAATTCAGTATCATGCTTTAATTTTTGCCCTTCAAGAATACTTACCTGCAGAATTAGTCATAAACAGAGTTTATCCAAAAGCACACTCTTTGCTGTAAAATGACCATTGACCCAACATACCAAAGATACGTAAAATTTTACGGACAACGAAAATGCATTTAAATCCCAACTGTGTTAAGTTGCTCTTTATCTTTTCAGTTTCTAAACAAATAGGTTGAATTTAAGCATTGTTCATGTCTCATCTTTCCCCTACATAATCACAATTCATATGACAGAAAAATGTTCGTATAACTTACAATTCTGTCTGACCCATAGATCTTCTCCAACTGTTCAGCAACATCCCTTGTTCCATCTGGGCTTCCATCATCTATGATTATAATTTCATAGTTGATTCCACTAAAAAAAATTAAATTTGTATTAATAATTGATGACAGTGTTCTCAAATTTAAAAGTAATTTAAAAATTACTAATTCCTTAAACGTATAAGTGGAGATTTATTGCTATATTGATCATTGAGGAAAACTTCAATTATCAAATGAAATAAATGTCAAACATTTAGTACTTTACCTGTAAACCCAGTATGTTGCTGAAACATGCTAATGTCCTGAGATATTAAAGAATTCTTACCCAGAGAACATACATTTTAGTTCAAAAGAAAATCAGGTAATGACCCATGTATCACATGAAATTTTTTTTTGAGATGGAGTCTCAAATTTTTTTTTGAGATGGAGCCTTGCTCTGTCACCAGACTGGAGTGCAGTGGCACAATTTCGGCTTACCTCTGTCTCCTGGCCTCAAGTGATTTTCCTGCCTCAGCCTCCCAAGTAGCTGGGACTACAGGCACCTGCCACCATGCCAGGCTAATTTTTTGTATTTTTAGTAGAGACGGGGTTTCACCGTGTTAGCCAGGATGATCTCGATCTCCTGATCTCGTGATCTGCCCGCCTCAGCCTTCCAAAGTACTAGGATTACAGACATGAGCCTCCGTGCCTAGCTATATGAAATTTTATTACCTACTTCGGAAATAGAATTCTGAACCTTAATAGCAAATCCTAGTTACATAAAATATTTCAAAAGTACTTTACACGTTAACTCAAACCAAACTGAGTAACTCTGAGTGATTATTCTTGTTAATTTGATCCAAATAGAATAATCAAATATAAATCTGATTTAATTTCACCTTTTAAAAAAACCTATTTTAGAATGGTGACACAATCTGAAACCACAATTTCAAATAGTTGTGCCTATTACTTCACATTATCAAATTAAAAAAACAAAAGCAGAGTAGCATTACAAAAGATTCCACTGCGCTTCAGAATTAACACGTTACTTCCCATTAACCTCAGGTGGTACGTTTCTAGTCTAAAAACAAACCAACACAATACTTGGTGGATAAATACTACACGGCTGTACATGCGGTCACCCCTACTCCTTCCCTTTTCAGAGACATTTTAAAAATTAATTTTATAAGGAAAAGTTAAGGAGAAAGAAGAAGAGACACAGCCCAATACCTACGACATAACATTCCGTTTTCTCTTGGTCCTGCTCTAAGAAACATATGCAAGAAAATCAACCAGAAGGCCGGGCGCGGTGGCTCAAGCCTGTAATCCCAGCACTTTGGGAGGCCGAGACGGGCGGATCACGAGGTCAGGAGATCGAGACCATCCTGGCTAACAGGGTGAAACCCCGTCTCTACTAAAAAATACAAAAAGCTAGCCGGGCGAGGTGGCGGGCGCCTGTAGTCTCAGCTACTCGGGAGGCTGAGGCAGGAGAATGGCGTGAACCCGGGAGGCGGAGCTTGCAGTGAGCTGAGATCCGGCCACTGCACTCCAGCCTGGGCGACAGAGTGAGACTCCATCTCAAAAAAAAAAAAAAAAGAAAATCAACCAGAAAACATATTCCACTGTTAAAAGGCTTTAACAAGTCAGCCCCAGCAAACTTTTAAGACAAGAAAGCAAAACCCTGTGTTATCTATTCTCCAAGAGTAGACACAATGACTTTGGCTTCCCACTGTGCCTTAAATTTGGGCGCTGGTGCCTTTACATGCCAAAATATGTAAGGTGATTTTAATAGACGTGCTAAAAGAGAAATTCCATAAACAAAATGGGGTCGTTAAAAGCAAATTACTGTCCCCTACCACTTCAAAGCAGCTACACCACCTGAGGGTGAGGCAGCTTAAAGATACCAAGCTGGGCTAACTTCAGGTAATTTGATTGCATCTGACAAGAAAAGTTTTGTTTCCTTTATCAAACTTCATTTTGATCTTAAAAGATTCATTCACAAACCATTAAAAGTAAAAATAAACTGTACTACATAAAAAAATTAAGGCAACAAAAAAATTTGCAAAATTAGAATACAAGCCCTGAACGAGATCGGTTGTATGACACTTAATTTCTTTAATTTACAGCTTACAAAAATAAAAATTAAAATAGTAAACAGGAAAAACAAAAACTTTAAAACTTTGAGGGGCAAGGCATGTGCAGGCAGTTATGCAAGGAAATACAATCAAAACAGCAATGGTTTTCACAAATGGGTACTTCCAGCAATGTCAAGTTTAATAATGCTCAGGCTGGCTGGCTGATGGGAAAACAGGCACTCTGAAGAATGGAGAATCCTAACTTGTACAATCTTTTTTTTTCTTTAGAGCAATTGTGAAGAATGGAGAGTCCTAACTTGTACAACCCTTTTTTTCTTTAGAGCAATTTGGCAATAACTGTCCATTTTAAGCACATTTCTGTCTACCTAGCAATCCTACCTCGAATCATTTATCCCCAGTACACAAGTAAAAGTATGAGTGTGTCTGCTGCCAACATTGATGCAATAAAGGAGCACCGCTATGTGTCAAGCACTTTTCTAAATTTAGCTGGAAAATATGGTGTCAACAAAGTCCTTGTTCTTATTTGCAAAGCAAAAGTCAAAAAATAAAAACAACCTAAAGCCGCTGGAAATAATCCAGCTCATTGCCATGACCTGGTTAAATAACACAGCCATATGGAATGTTACCTAACTTCCAAAGTAATTTGCTATGTTTCGATATATTAATATGAAAAAAAGTATTCAAAGATTTCACAGCATGATCCCATTTGTGCAATCGTAAAACAAGTTACTCCGTACTGACTCCAGGATTTTTTGCAGTTTTTAAAAACACTGCATTAACACACTTCCAAATTCGAACTCCACCCACCCCCCATCCCGGTTCTAACAATCACACCAAACATCCACCAGTGATCAGCGAAGATGCCCTTCTGCTCTCTCCTTTCCAGAAAGGTTATCGTGCCCAGCAATAGCTCCCTAACCCACACACACCAAACCTCATGCTTATATAAGCATTCGGCACCGGAGTGGAGAGTGAACGCTCTCGCTTGGACTCCTGGCTCTTGCCGCAGATCCTGACCGCCTAGAGGGAGGAGTGGGGTCACGCTTTCAGCCTCGCTTCCAAGTAAAAGAGTGGCCAACCTTTCTACGAAAAGGCGGGGGACGCGAGTACTTCATAATAAATGAGTGTCTCACAAAACCCAAGGGCACGAATGAGAACCCAGGACACGAAGAAAACCCAAGAAACATCTGTCTCTGCTTCCCTCACAGGGTGGCCCTATCCCTAGGCCTTCCTGCGTGAGGCAAAGAAGGTTGGACAGGGCCGCCTCGCGCAGCCAGCTGCAGACACCCGGGCCGGGGAAGCCAGCTCATCTCATTCCTCGGGGAGGGAGACCTGGTGCGCTACCTCTCGGAGAAGCTTTTCACCAGCAACCACACGATGAGTGGCAGGTTCTCGCGCTCGTTGTAGGTGGGTAAAAGCACCGAATATTTGTCCCGTCGTGGACTGCGCACTTCCAGCTGCCGCCGAGACCTGGGAGGACTACGTCTGACTTCCAAGGAGGCCATGGCGGAACTGAGCCAGACGCCGGAAGCGGAATTACGTAAATGCGGCGCGGAAAAAGGACGGGTCGGACCGTACCAAATTCGGAAGCGGGGGATGATCTGTGTGATTGAGCGCTAGTTCTTCTAGAGCTATTGTGTGGTTCAATTACAAATATTCAGGATTTATGCATCTTTAAAGCTTAATCTGAAGATTTCTTCAGGAAATAAATATCTATTATCATCTTTTCCCAAGCTCCATAAAGTTTTTTAGTTTATCCCAGTCGCTAGGAAACAGAAGCCGGAAGCGGAAATGCCTTTTACGACAACTTCCGGAAGAGGTCGCCATGGCTTCCCGGGAGGAGGTACTCGCGTTACAGGCTGAAGTTTCGCAACGTGAGGAGGAATTGAATTCCCTGAAGCAGAAACTGGCGTCGGCCCTTTTGGCGGAGCAGGAGCCGCGGCCAGAACGGCTGGTTCCTGTGTCGCCGCTGCCGCCGAAGGCCACTCTTTCCCGAGATGAGATTCTGCGCTATAGCCGGCAGCTAGTGCTGCCGGAGCTGGGCGTGCACGGACAGCTGCGCCTGGCGACCGCGTCCGTGCTAGTCGTGGGCTGCGGTGGGCTTGGCTGTCCACTGGCGCAGTACTTGGCAGCGGCCGGCGTGGGTCGCCTTGGCCTTGTGGACTATGACGTGGTAGAGATGAGCAACCTCGCCCGCCAAGTGCTGCATGGAGAGGCACTGGCTGGCCAGGCCAAGGCCTTGTCGGCCGCCGCCTCGCTGCGCCGCCTCAATTCGGCAGTGGAATGCGTGCCGTACACTCAGGCCCTTACGCCAGCCACTGCCCTAGACCTGGTCCGCCGATATGATGTGGTGGCCGACTGTTCGGACAACGTGCCCACTCGCTACCTGATTAATGACGCATGTGTGCTGGCGGGTCGGCCCCTTGTGTCTGCCAGTGCCTTGCGCTTCGAGGGCCAAATCACAGTCTACCATTATGACGGTGGGCCTTGCTATCGCTGCATATTCCCCCAACCACCCCCAGCGGAGACAGTGACCAACTGCGCGGACGGCGGCGTGTTTGGTGTCGTAACTGGAATCCTGGGCTGCCTGCAGGCCTTGGAAGTGCTGAAAATCGCTGCGGGTCTGGGCCCCTCTTACAGTGGCAGTCTGTTGCTCTTTGATGCCCTGCGAGGGCATTTCCGCTGTATTCGGCTGCGGAGCCGCAGGCTCGACTGTGCAGTTTGCGGGGAACGGCCCACTGTGACTGATCTGCTGGACTATGAAGCCTTCTGTGGCTCCTCAGCCACTGATAAATGCCGCTCCCTGCAGTTACTGAGCCCAGAGGAGCGTATTTCTGTCACCGACTATAAGCGAGTTCTGGATTCTGGGGCATCCCACCTGTTGCTGGACGTCAGGCCTCAGGTGGAGGTGGACATTTGTCGTTTGCCTCATGCCCTACACATCCCTCTGAAACATTTGGAACGCAGGGATGGGGAGAGCCTGAAACTCTTAAAAGAAGCAATCTGGGAAGGGAAGCAGGGCACACAAGAAGAGGCTGCTGTCCCCATTTATGTGATTTGCAAACTGGGAAATGACTCACAGAAAGCCGTGAAGGTCCTCCAGTCCTTAGCAGCAGCTCAAGAGTTAGACTCTTTAACAGTTCGGGATGTTGTGGGGGGCCTCATGGCCTGGGCTGCCAAAATCGATGGAACATTTCCGCAGTACTAAGGTGACCGGTATAGTCTGATGGGAAAGATGAGGATTGCCGTAATGCCTCAAAGATACATTTATTTGAATTTTTCAGTAATATGCATAGGAGCTGGGGATTCTACAGTATCTGTGAATACATGGACTCCTTTTTTATAAGGAGTTTTAAAAATTGTTTTGTATTGCATGACTTATTAATGGTTTATACTGTTTCTGAGAACCATCATTTTTTTTTCCAGCACATGGAGGGTGTCTTGGACATGTGAGATGTAATGTGACAGGAATTTGTATTTTAAACTGCAGATCATTTACCTGTCCTTAGTTTCCACCTCCCCCATCAAAGTGCTTTCTAAATCATTTTCACAGATTATATACTTAGGATCTGTTTACTGTTTAGTTAAGAAATTCTTGGATCTTATTAATATTTCAGATGATAGAATACATCCTACAGAAATACATGTTTAAAATGTAAATTGTTTTAATTATTCAGAAAGGGGGTCCTTTTATTTGGCATTTTGAATTAGTATCAAAATGAGATTTTTTTTTTTTTTTTTGAGACAGAGTCTTGCTCTATTGCCCAGGCTGGAGTGCAGTGGTGCGATCTCGGCTCACTGCAACCTCTGCCTCCCAGGTTCAAGCGATTCTCCTGCCTCAGCCTCCTGAGTAGCTGGGATTACAGGCGCACGCCACCACGCCTGGCTAATTTTTGTATTTTTAGTACAGAGGGGTTTCACCAGGTTTGTCAGGCTGGTCTCGAACCCCTGATCTCGTGATCCGCCTTCCTTGGCCTCCCAAAGTGCTGGGATTACAGGCGTGAAGCACCACGCGCACCATAGATCTTTAAAGTTTACCAAAATAAAGGAAACCACCTTTGTAGTCTGTCAGTGCCTCTTATAAATTGCTACTGTTTTCTTAAAGTTGGTTTCACGGTCCACCTTATGTTGCACACATATAACATTGTGTAAATTGCATACTATGGTTTGACTTGCTTTGGAATCTTCAAGTCGAAGTCCCAACCCTTTGCCTCTCCCCGTTTAATTTGCCTTTTCTCTTTTGATTTAATCTTTTTTTATTCCACCATTTTATACTAATGTAAAGTGTGTTTTTGTGTTTGTTTACTTAACATTTTCACAAAATAGTAGGTAGTCTCCCCAACTTCCAATATAGACAACAACATTATAAGTAAAAATTTGATTTGTGAGTACCTATCAGTGGCCGGTTGAACTGATGGCCTGTCAAAAGGGGGCCTGTTCCTTCACTGCTTGCTGCGTGCAGGCTCATAATCATCAGTTGCTGCTGTTGTTGTTTTTAAAGAATGGCAGAAATCACAGATATAACTACAAAATCTTTGTATCTCTGTTAACCTTTTTTTTTTTTTTAAAGCTTAAATGCATCATAGGCCAGAAAAACCCTCTGCAGACCAGATTTACTTACCGGTTTGCAATTTGTGATATAGAATCTTGTTTTAAGAGGGTGGTATTTAACAAATTCAAAATTAGTGATCACTTTTTAACTGTGAAACATTGTAACTAATTCTTTGAACAGGTATACCTAAAGTATGGTATGCCCTTCTTTTATAAAGATGAAGCAGGTCTCTTATGACTGTTCCTCCCAACAACTTATGGAAGTAAATGACTGAGACCTGGAGTGGAGAACGAAGATGGCTGGCCTGTGTTTTTCATTTCCTTCCAGGGACAACTGATTCTGATACATATCAGGAAACAAATAGCGAGACACAGAAATGATTTCATATTCTAAAGACTGATGTCCTAAAGTTATAGACAGTTGTAGTTCCTATAAACCTGGTTGTCACTGGGGACAGGCAAGAGCTGATTGACTAAGTGGGAAAAGGATTTACTAAAGTGATAGGAGGTGCTTTGAGAATTTTGGGGATAGATTCAAGCCTATACTTCTAGGAATGATGCCCGAAATCATGCACAAAACTGGCCTTAGGAGAATAGTGTCTATGTTGTACTACTCTATCAAGTACCGGAGAAAACTGCCACTACAGTCTCACCAGTTTCACTTCACGTGGCCCCCCTGCTGTCCCAGAAAGCCCAACACTTCAGCCACAGTCCATGTGTCAAGAAGCAGAGTCACTATATTATTTTCTGGGTGAAACCTTATGACGGTGTCTGGTAGGCAGAGTCTAATTACATGCCTACATCTTAGCTGCAAGAGAGGCTGGGAATTTGTGTTTTGATATCTACAATAGGAAGGTAGAACTCCTGATGTAGGATTTTCCCAAATAGTGAAATATTTTTCAAAAGATGGGCTGTTAAGAATGTAACAACTACCCAGTACACAACCCAGATATATTTCAGGTTTTTTTTTTTTTTTTTTTTTTTTTTTGAGACAGAGTCTTGCTCTATCCCCCAGGCCGGAGTGCAGTGTCACAATCTCGGCTTGCTGAAGCCTCCACCTCCCGTGTTCAAGCGATTCTCATGCCTCAGCCTCCCGAGTAGCTGGGATTACAGGCACCCGCCACCACACCTGGCTAATTTTTCTATTTTTAGTAGAGATGGGGTTTCGCCATGTTGGCCTGGCTGGTCTTGAACTCCTGACCTCAGGTGATCTGTGCACGTTAGCCTCCCAAAGTGCTAGGATTACAGTCGTGAGTCACTGCGCCTGGCATATGTTAGTATTTGAAATTTGGTTTTCTCTGGGGATTGTAGCTAGGTTTTTATGGTGAGATAGGATTTGAACGCAATTTTTTTTTGAGACAAAGTCTTGCTTCGTCACCCAAGCTGGAGTGTAGTGTCGTGATCACGGCTCACTGCAGCCTCAACCTCCTGGGTTCAAGTGATCCTCCCACCTCTGCCTCTCAAGTAGCTTGGATTACAGGTGTGTGCCACCATGCCTAGCCATTTCTTAATTTAAAATTTTTTGTAGCTGCGGGGCACGGTGGCTCAAGCCTGTAATCCCAGCACTTTGGGAGGCCGAGACGGGCGGATCACGAGGTCAGGAGATCGAGACTATCCTGGCTAATACGGTGAAACCCCGTCTCTACTAAAAAATACAAAAAAACTAGCCGGGCGAGGTGGCGGGCGCCTGTAGTCCCAGCTACTTGGGAGGCTGAGGCAGGAGAATGGCATAAACCCGGGAGGCAGAGCTTGCAGTGAGCTGAGATCCGGCCACTGCACTCCAGCCTGGGTGACAGAGCGAGACTCCGTCTCAAAAAAAAAAAAAAAAAAAAGTTTGTAGCTATAGGGGTCTCAGTATGTTGCCGAGGCAGATCTCAAACTCCTGGGCTCGAGCAGCCCTCCTACCTCAACCTCCCAAAGTGTTTGGGATTACGGGTGTGAGGCACTATGCCCAGCCTGAACTTGATTTTTTTTTTCTTTTTCATAACA